AATATCTGAAGCTTTTTCCAATCTTATCAAACAAGCCACCATCAATCACTCTTTCCAGGGCATTAAAATTAGCAAGCACTCTCCCTCCATCACTCATCTTTTCTTTGCTGATGATTCTATTCTCTTTTGCAAAGCTGATGCCCACCATGCTTCTTTGATTTCTCACATTCTCAACCTTTATAGTCTAGATTCTGGACAAAAGGTCAACTTGAGTAAATCCTCTGTCTATTTTTTCAAAAATTCCCAAGCCCCTCTAAAAGCTGAAATCTGCTCTATTTTGCAAGCTATCTCTGTTGTCCAGTCTTCTACTTATCTAGGATTGCCTCTGGGGCTTGGTAGATCCAAAAAGCAAACCTTCAGTTTTGTTGTAAATAGAGTTTCTGCTAGAATAAATTCATGGAAAAATATTTTTCTTAGTGAGGCTGGTAAGGAGATCTTGTTAAAATCTGTTATAGGGGCTCTCCCCACTTTTGTTATGTCTTGTTTTAAATTACCAGTGGCTTTTTGTGAAGAAATAAACAGACTTTCTGCTTCCTTTTGGTGGGGTAATAAACAAGATGGGGGCAGAAGAATTCACTGGACTTCATGGAATAATCTTACACTGCCAAAGGAAGATGGAGGCTTGGGATTCAAATGTCTTGCAGCATTCAATGATGCCCTTATCATGAAGCAGCTATGGAGAATTATCCAGCATCCTGAGCTATTGATGAGCAAAATTATCAAAGGGAAGTATTTTCATAACTCATCCCTGTGGAAGGTAAAGCATAAATGCTCTGATTCATGGCTGTGGAGTACTTGGCTGAAAGCAATCCCTCATCTCAGGAAAAAAGTCATCATGTCTATTAGAGATGGCAGCAACACAGACATCTGGACAGATCCATGGGTTGTAGGGATTCCAAATCTCTCCCCCAATATGGCTTTTTCTTATGATGGCTTGAGACTGAAAAAAGTAAGGGAGCTTATGAATTCAGATGCCACTGCTTGGGATAATGAGCTTGTAGAGCAAACTTTCAGGCCTGAAGAAGCTCAAAAAATTCTGAATATCCCCCTCAAGGAAGGCCAACAAGATGCTATGATCTGGACTCCTCATAAGCAAGGTAAATTCTCTGTTAAATCTTCTTATTTGTCCATTCTATCTGAAAGGAAAATGCTCTTCAAACCCCCTGAATCCAGCAAACAAAGCCGAAGACTTTCTAAGACCTGGAAGACCACATGGGCTCTGAAAATTAAAAACAAAATTAAGATCTTTCTCTGGCGTTGCTGGTACAAATATTTAGGCACCAATGACCATCTCATCAAGAGAGGTATTCTTGTGGACCCTATTTGCAGTGTCTGTGGGTCTGCTGAGGAATCTCTCGACCACATTCTATTCTTTTGCCCCCGTGCTGTAAAAGTTTGGAAGCATGCCGACTTACATTGGGAAGGTATGCACCTCTCAAACTTCACTTTCCAAACTTGGTGGCAAGACATCCGTTCTATGAAGAGAATTAGAAGCTTTCACGACCGTATACACTTTTCTTCTTATATACTCTGGTGGTTGTGGAAGTCCCGAAATATTTGGATCTTTAATAAGATCTGGAAATCCGAAGTTGATATTGCTCGAGGAGCTTGGGCAGAATGGGTGGAATTCGAGGAAGTTTCAAATGTTGGTTCATAGCACTTTGCTCTGGTTTTCTTCATCTTGTTCTTCTATTTTTGGAGTTGGTCATTTTTGGGGGAAAGCTTATTTTTTTGTGGAAGTTGGGCTAGGAACGGATGTGTTCAGTGGCAAGCTTCTACAGGATTTCCAAGTTGCAATGGCTACCCGGTGTCTTTTTTTGGTGCTGGCTTTATTTTTGTTTGTTCTCCATTGTTTTCTAGCCCTGTAAATTTTAGTCTTTCTTTTGTTTAGCCTGTCAGGTTGTACTTATTTTTATGTTTTTGTTTGCTTTATTAGGGTTGCATCCCTTTATCACTTAGCCTAAGTCTATGGCTAAGGTTTATGTCCTCGGACATGCCCTCTGTATCTGAACTTTGCTGAGTTTGGCTTAATATTATTTTCGTTTCGAGAAAAAAAAAAAGTTTCTTTTCATAGCTCATATGATTCATCAGCCAAACACGACAGAGACAATAATAAATATAGTTAAAGTTTCTCAAAAGAAACACCAAACTCAATAATTCTTCAAAAAAATTATGCACATGTCGTGTATTATTTAATTGGTGTAGGTCATATCCATAGTATCATTTGTTTATTTATTAATTTGGTCCATGTTATAAAATACGGGGAATAGAAAGAACACAATGTATAGAAACCGGATATAAATTGTAACAGACTTTTTCCTTTCACTTTCGTGCAAATGTTACAATGTCCATTAGCCTCCTTTTATAGGCAAACTTCAAGTCACCAATAATACACTTGCACACACTTCAATACACATTTGAATATAATAATGAAAAAGATAATATTAATATTGGTAAATTCCACATATCTATAATACTCCCCCTTGGAATTACCACTATTAAATGTGCGTTTATGCTGCCTCGTTAAAAACCTTATTCGGAAAAACCCTGTGGGAAAAAAACCGAGATAAGGAAAAAAGAGTACAGCCGCACATACTCCCCCTCGAATTATCATCTGTGCAAATCCCGAAGATGTCTCATCCCAATGTTGTGTACGTGCTTTCGAAACATTGTTGTCGGAAGCGCCTCCGTAAACAGATCAGCTGCATTATCGCTTGATCGAATGTATTCAACTTTGATTTGTTTGTTTCTTTCAAGCTCTTGCGCATATAAGAATAACTTTGGCGGGATATGTTTAGTTCTGTCACTCTTAATGTATCCTTCTTTGGTTTGAGCGACACATGCTGCATTGTCTTCGTATATCACCGTCGGGTCATTATTGTTCGATAGTCCACTGGCTTGTTGAATATGTTGAGTCATGTTTCTGAGCCAGATGCTTTCTCTAGTTGCCTCATGAAGTGCAATGATCTCAGCATGGTTTGAAGACGTCGCAACTAACGTTTGTTTCTGGGAGCGCCAAGAGAATGCAGTTCCACCAATCGTGAAAACATAACCAGTTTGAGATCTTGCTTTATGGGGGTCTGATAGATATCCTGCATCTGCAAAACTGATTATTTCATGTTTTTTATCGTTAGAACAAAACAGTCCCAAATCGATTGTCCCTTGGAGATAACGGAATATATGCTTAATTCCACTCCAATGTCTCCTCGTAGGTGCCGAGTTATATTAATATTATCTTTTTCATTATTATATTCAAATGTGTATTGAAGTGTGTACAAGTGTATTATTGGTGACTTGAAGTTTGCCTATAAAAGGAGGCTAATGGACATTGTAACATTTGCTCGAAAGTGAAAGGAAAAAGTCTGTTACAATTTATATCCGGTTTCTATACATTGTGTTCTTTCTATTCCCCGTATTTTATAACACGTTATCAGCACGAACGCTCTGCCCGATCAAGAAAGGTAGGATATATATACATATTACCATTATTCTTGACAAGTTAG